GTGGAGCGAGTGCAGCGGTGGGTGGTGTGGTAGCTGCTCTCACCTCTGCTTCCATTCTGTTGCCCTTTGTTGGGGTTTTTGCTCTGAACCAGAAAGCAAAATCATCAGCCAAGTGGGGGTCAGGGAGAGAAAGTGCACACAGAGAGGAGAGGGGAAGCAGCTATGGCGCAGTGGTCCCCCCATGGTCTGTAAGGGTGGAATTCTGAGAAGGCAGAGCTGGGGAGAGCCAGCTAAGCGCCAGTTCTGTGATGAAACTTCCAAGCTTTTCAGCCAGACATCACCTCACAGCACCTGATCTTGGTTGTTGCTCAGTATTCTCCTGCACCCCCTTGTTATGGCTTGAATGTCCCCCCAAGTTAATGTGTTGAAAAAAAATTTTTTTGGAGAGGTTTTCGCTATAGGGCGCATGCACTTGCCAGACAGACAGAGAGAGACATAGAGACAGAAAGCAAGAAATCACCCCCCAGAGGGGATAGTCACACTGCAATCCCTTCTCCTCCATTCTCCTCTCGGAATCTTGGGCACACACGCACACACGCCCGGCGTGAGTTTTAAGCCACTGGGTCTGGGACACGAACCGCGGTCAACTACGTGGAAGCCCACTGACATAGCCATTAAGCTAATTGCTGGTTCCCTAGTGTGTTGTGAAATTTGATAGTGACTTTTTTTTTTTTTTTTTTTTTTTGCCACAGGGCATGTGCGCTTACCAGGAAGAGGAGAACCCCCCCCCCATAAAGGACAGTCGTGTCATAACCCTTTCTCCTCCATTTTTCCTTCCTCTCAAGAGTTTGGGCGCGCACACACACACACACAGATTTTTCAAGCTGCTGTGTCCAGGACTGGAACCGTGCAGCCAGCCATGTGGGATCCAGCCACCTTAACCACCACACCATGGGCTAGCCCCAGAATTAAGATTTTTAAAAAACACTTCTTAAAAATGTATTTCTTCCCTGAATGAGAGGGACAGAGACAGTGAGACAGCACCTCTAACAGGGACTCGATGCCACAGTCACCCCAGCTGTGCATGTGTTAGACAGACATTTCCTCTGAGTTACAGCTAGAGCATTCCCCAGACTGGGGAGCCGGGAAGCAAGTGGTCGCCAATCACAGGGCCCCTCCCCACCCTGTCGCAGAACACCTGCAGGCTGCTGCTGCCTTCTTGCTTTAATGTGTAACTCCTGACTGAGGAGCCAAACATGTGACCTACCAAACCAGACCCATTTTTCTTCCAGCACCAAATTCCATCTATTAACTGGTTGCTTTTGCTGAGGGAGCATTTAGACTCTGGACTTACCTGGTTATAAAGGGTGTCCCTAAACTGGCTCAAAACTACTCTCAAAAAGACTTGTTGAACCACTTAGAGAGTTTCACACTAGTTGTATGACCTGGGACAAGTTACTTACTATTTCTACCATCTTTTAGTTGCTACATTGTAAGGTGGGGATGATACTGGCGTCTGCCTCCTAAAGATGCTCAGAGATAGGGACCAGCAGTTAGCGTAATGGCTATGTTGCTGGACTCCCACGTAGTCGACCATGGTTTGAGTCCCGGACTCGGTGGCTTAAACTCACGCCGGGCGAGGGTGCGTGCGTGCCCATCCCCCCTGGGGGGTGATTTCCTGCTTTCTATCTCTCTGTCTTTCTCTGTCTGTCTGGCGAGCGCACGCGCCCTATAGCAAAAACCTCTCTCAAAAAAAAAAAAAAGATGCTCAGAGAATTGAGAGAATTCTTGCATGTAAAACAGAACCAGGAGCCTGGGGGGTAGGTCAGAAGTAAGGGGGGGGACAGTGAACTTATTAATGAAAAATCACTGAAGCAAAAACCTAGTACACTACAGGCATTCAATAAATGATTTGCAATTTTTATTCCTATTATATAAAATCCATTTGAATGGAAACAAGACTAGGAGACAGCAAATAGTAGCAGTGGTTATCTTTCAAAATAATAAAAGAGGTAGGACTTAAGTTTTTTTTTTTTCTTTTTATGTAATACCATTCTATATTTTAAATTTTTCTACAATGAACATATATTACTTTTATAGTCAGGAAAGGAAAAGCAATATTGTATTTAATGCTGAAAATATGTTAATATTTTCACATTTCACAAAACATCTTTTGTTGACATTCTACAAATGATACCATCCAGTAATGTCCCAATCCTTTCCTCTTGTGAAGACAGTTTATATATCTGTAAAAATGAGACAAATCGTGACTTTCTTGTATGTCAGGCACTAGTCACTGACGTTATATTACACAAACATGTGGACGTGCAATTATCATTCATTCAATGGGTTAATAGTATGAAATAACAAATTGATTAAAATATTCAACAAAGCAGAGGGCAATTCATCATTTAGGTCAAATATTCCCTTTAAACTGGAGTTAGAGTAACAGCTCTCTCAACATAAAGACCAAATCTGTATCAACTTTTTTTGGGGGTGGGGGGGTGCGGTAGAAGGTTCAACATAAGGCATATGCTCTTGGCAGAGAAAGACAGGGAGAGAAAATGAGAACTCGCCCCCCTCAGGGGGATGGCATGCCACAATCCTTTCTTCTTCATTATCTTCTCAGGATTTGGGGCACACAGGCACACACACCGGGCATGGTTTTCAAACCACCAGGTCCAGGATTTGTACTGCGTCCCCTGTGGGCAAATCCAGGTTAACCATGCCACCGGCTGGCCCTCAAATCTCTATCAAGTTTAAAAGCATACAATAGGGGCCAGCAGGTAGCATGAAGATTAAAGCAGCTGAATCCCACATGGCTGGCTCTGCAGTTCAAATCTTGGACCCGACAGCTAGAAAATCATGCCATGTGCATGTATGGGCTTGCCGAAATCCCAAGAGGATAATGGAGGGGGAGGGATTGCAGCATGACCATTCCCCTGGGTGGGGGGATTTCTCACTCCACTTCTCTCTCTCTCTGAACACATGTGCCTTATAGCAAAAAAAAAAAAAAAAAAAAGGGTGGGGGGAGGCATTCATCTAGGGCCAGTCAGTGGTGTCGTGGTTAAGGTAGCTGGACCCCACATGGCCAACTACATGATTCAGGTCCTGGACTTGGTAACTTAAAAGTCATGACAGGTTGGGAAACAGCAGTTAGCGTAATGGCTATGTTGCTGGACTCCCACGTAGTCGACCGCGGTTCGGGTCCCGGACCCGGTGGCTTAAAACTCACGCAGGCGCGTGTGCGTGCGTGCCCAAGATCCCGAGAGGAGAATGGAGGAGAAGGGATTGCAGCGTGACCATCCCCCCTGGGGGGTGATTTCTCGCTTTCTGTCTCTATGTCTCTCTCTGTCTGGCGAGCGCACGCACCCTACAGTGAAAATCTCTCCCCCCACCAAAAGAAAAAAAAAAAAAAGTCATGACAGGCATGTATGAATGCCCAAAGTCCTGAGAGGAGAGGTGAAGGAAAAAGGGTTGCAACATTACCACCCTCCGGGGGTTGGCGGCAGGAGGGAGGTGCTTTCTCACTTGTCAGTGCTCTCTCACACACTATCTAGTTATTTTATATTTAAAGGACACATCTAGATACTAAGTTTATTTATTTTACATTTTAAATGTACCCCATAAGCTTGGTACTTAAAGATACACTTTTTTCTTTAGTCATTGTCCAGTGCATGTGTGAGCATGTGAGGGAGAGACAAGCACCTTCCACAGGGTGTAGTCACGCCACAACTCCCTTCAGCCCCCAGCCCAGTGGGACCTGGGCGTGTCTACACACACGTGCCCAGCATGTTTCAGGCCAACCAAGCTGGGAATCTGAACTGCAGTTGCCAAGAGGGCTCTGGCCTCTTTTGAGCAGCTTATTTCCCCAGAGACTCAGGACTAGCCCTCCACTTTTTTTCCCCTTAAGTTCATTTATCTCCCTCATGAGTGTGGGCAACCTTGACAGAACCTTCAAACTGTGATCCTTTCCCCAGCCAGCGAGGCTCTTGGGCATACCCTGGGATGCCCTGCACACTCAGACCTCAGCACAGCAAGCCGGAGCCAAGTAAATGGCCCCAGTCCCTGCCGCCTGCACCACAGCAGCTGGGCCAAGTATCCACTTTCTTAAGGTGGAGAATGCTGTTGTCAACTACGTTTCTAATTATATTTTACATAAACCTGCACTTCCCAGGTTCTTACAAGTGTCTTTCAAGTCATATTTAAAATATATTAACATTTGTTTAAAGTTTAAACTACACGAGCATCGGAGATCAGTAAACAACACATTCTTCATCTGTCACGCTCTAAAATGTATGGATTTACAAACCTTTTTGACTTCTGTAATATTTGTTATTTCAGGAAGATCCTTCAGAGAAACCTGATGGCCATCCACTTGAGATATTAGGTATTCTGGATTTATTTGCTTTTCTCCCTCTTCAATGTAAACAATTAGAACTGAAGTGTCATTTGCTGAGATACCAAATTTTTTCAAAGCGTCTGAGATCTATAAAACAAAACCAAACCCAACAAATGAGTGCCTCCTGGGTCTGAGACATCTGATCTGCTTTCCTCTTCGGTCAGGTTCAAATTTCATATTCTAAGTTCCCTCTGGCTAGTTTTTTTGATTCTCAGATTATGGACGCTCAACCTGTACCTGGTAGCGTGATTAGCAGTAACACTAAAATGAAACTAGCAAAGTTTCAGTCATTTTCCTCATGTGTTACATGTGCAATGTCTTTACCTCAGTAACTTTTATTAAGAAAGTGTTCCTATATTTTTTTTGGAGAGGTTTTTACTATAGGGCACATGCGCTCGCCAGACAGAGACAGAGAGACAGAAAACGAGAAATAACACCCCTCCCCCCACAGGGGGATGGCCACGCCGCAATCCCTTCTCCTCCATTCTCCTCTTGGGATCTTGGGCACGCACGCACACGTGCCCGGCGTGAGTTTTAAGCCACCGGGTCCGGGACGCAAACCGCGGTCGACTACGTAGGAGTCCAGCGACACAGCCATTACGCTAACTGCTGGTCCCATCCTATGAGTATTTCAAACCACAAAATCTCCTATGCACTGGGTGTGTGAATGAGCCCATGTGAAAGGCTCTTCTAGTACCAGCAAGTTCCTGATATATGGAAAGACATAAATTCTAGCCTCAAGAATTTTACAGGAGAGTGAAGATGTGCATGCTCACACACAAAATATCCAAACTTAATGTTTTACCATTTAGATTTGTGTCAGCCTAAGCAGAAATGGAGCCCAGCCCAGCCTGGTAGCACAGTAGGACAGACCTACAGAGCTAGAAGCCACATGGCTGACTGCAGGCTTGGATCCCTGGGCCACCTTGAAAACATGCCAGGTACATGCATGCATGCATGCCCAAGATCCTCAGGAGCTGGAAGGCTGGGAGAGGGAGATCATGACATGAGACTCTACTGGGGGTACTCTCATGCATGCACATGCTATCAGGACTAAAATAAACTTAAAAATAATACTTAGGGGATCTTCCTAACCCTGTATGTAACACTTCCTTTAGTTAAACTTTTGTTTACTAATATGTAAACTGACTCAAAAGTTTGTCTAATTAAAGGCAGTGCTAAAATTCAACTTGCCACAGCACTCTTCACTATTATTTTAGTTTATCACTAACAACTGGTTTGCAGGAATTTAGCCTCTGACCCAAAATTGGGGAACACTTTTTTGGGGGGGCTATCGGGTGTATGTGGCCACCAGGGAATGTGAGAAAACACCCCTCCGGGGGACGGGGAGTGGTAGCCACATCACAAGCCCTTCTCCATTCTTCTCTTGGGATTTTGGGCACTCACATGCACAGTATGTTTTTCAAGCTGCAGGGTCTGGGACTCAAACCACACAGTTGGCCATGAGGGATCCAGCCACCTTAACCACCATGCCCTTAGCTGGCCACATATATGTTGTTATAACCAGATTAACAGAAATAAAGTCAGTAAATTCCACATTACATTGTTATTTGGGGAAAGGTTGAAAATAATTTCTGTAGACAGAGTTCTTGTCTTCATTTTTCCCAGTTTGTAGAGGTGAACTGCTTTGTTTGCTGCCACAAGTATCTGAAATGGGTCGACAACCTACCAAAGAGAACAAAAAAGAATCACATACAGAGACTCTGGAGCACTCCGAAGACACGTGCCCTATGGTGTGGTAACTCCAGGTCAAGCTGTCTTACCTCATTGCAATTCTATTCTTTTTTTTTTTATTACGAGAGATTTTTTTTTGCCATAGGCTGTGTACACTGTCTGGAGAGGAATAAAGCAAGAAATTGCTTCCCAGGGGGCTAGCCATGCATGCACACATGCCTGGCATGAATTTTAAGCCACTGGGTCTGGGACTCAACCACATCAACTACATTGGAGTCCAGCAACGTAACCATTCTGCCATCTGCTGGTCCCCTCATTGCAATTCTTAAGGACTATATTTTCGTAACTTATCCCAAGAGCCTCATTGGTCAGAAAAATCATAAACTTCCAAAGCTACAAGACACTTTAATAATAAAAAAAAAAATTTAAATAACATTTATTGAGGGCTAACTTTATGAGAAGGGCCATATTCTAAACATTTTTACCTGTGTTATTTTCTTTAATCCTCAAAACTGCCTATCAACTTGGTATTATTATTTTTCACATGTAATAGATGAGAAAACGAAGACAAAGAACGTCTGGATTTGAATCCCAGCTGTCCCTTAGCACCTAGGGAATGTGCGCAAGTTCCTGTGTCTCACTGTGGCAGGCAGGCAGGCACAGCACTCACTTCACAGCACTGTTGTGAAAAAGGAGTGCAAGTAGAGCTCTGAGCAAAGCCAGGAGGGGAACGAGCACTACAGAACGCTCGGCTGAGCCTCGTTCCGGGGCTGAGATGAAGTCCTGGTGACCTGATCCCAGAGCGTGCCCTTACCACTTACGCGATGCCTCCTTTGCAGGCCATCTTGTTCAGAACTCTCACTTCACAGGGGAGAAGCTCACTCCTGGGCACTTGAGACCCTGTTAGAACCAAACCAAACCTTTTCTATTTTCTGGGGAAGGGGACTGGTCCTTCTGTCTCCATTTTCTGTTAAATTCAAGGTTGGCTCAGGTCTGATTTGGACAAGCAATTTTAACTGAAGATAAATTCTAGGCAAACTTATAACATTAAAAAAAAAAAAAGAACCCGGGACCAGCAGTTGGCGTACTGGCTACATTGCTGGAATCCCATGTAGTCGACCATGATTCAAATCCTGGACTCGGCAGCTTCAACTCACGCTGGGCACGTGTGTGTGTGCGTGCCCAAGATCTTGACAGGAGAATGGAAGAGAAGGGACTGCAGCATGGTCAACCCCCTTAGGGGGTGATTTCTTGCTTTCTGTCTCCCTGTCTCTCTCTTTCTGGCGAGTGCACATGCCCTGTAGTGAAAACCTCTCCAAAGATAAAAAAAAAAAAAAAAAGAAAAGAAAAGAAAAAGAAAAAAGAACGCATTCTTAAATGCCCAGTATGGCTCTCTCCTCTCAGGCTTTATACTTACCACTGTAGGATTTATCAGTGAACCACTAATGGTGCCTTCCATGGCCTTTTTCCTCAAGTCTCCAGCATTTTTAACATCTTTAAATAACAGAAGGGTCACCGTGCATTCCGGAAATAAGTCCAGCTGATGTGTCAACTGCATTTTATAGATAAGCAGGATTCTACTGCACAAAACCAACAGATTAATAGATTTTTGTTTAAAATTTAACTTTATAATTCATCTCTTAAATATCCTGGCTAACTAACAAATGAAAATAACTTTTTAATAATAACATGGAACTGTTAGACTGGAAAAGTACACCTCAAAAGCACATGAGCCATCCTCATGAGATGATGCCTTCCTGACTCCTCTGACCTGTTCCTGACTTCCGGCAGCATTCCTGGGAAAAAGCCACAAGAGCTGGTTGGTCCCCCCCCATTCAGCTGAGATAGGCTGTGATGCAAGGCTGAGGGGCTGCTTCCCCAGCAGACAAGTTGAAGCAGAGCACCAGGAATTTTTCAGAACACAGATTACTTATTTTTATTACAGTAACTTTACTTCCAATTAGGCTTTTTAAACTTTCTGATCCACTGTTTTATTTATATTTTAGCAGGATCTGCATACAAGTATTGAGGAAGAAAATAACTTTAAAAAACTAAAGTATCACACTTGACCCAAAGGTATTATTATTCCATACATGAAAATTATGCAGAGGGACCAGCAGTTAGTGTAATGGCTATGTCGTCAATGGACTCCCATGTAGTCGATCACAGTTCACGTCCCGGACCCAGTGGCTTAAACTCACGCCGGGTACGTGTGCGTGCATGCCCAAGATCCCGAGAGGAGAATAGAGGAGAAGGGATAGCGGCGTAGCCATCCCCCCTGGGGGGTGATTTCTCGCTTTCTTTCTCTCTCTGTATTTCCAGGGAGCGCACGCGCCCTATAGCAAAAACCTCTTAAAAATTATGCAGAGAAGATATACTTTTTAAATAATTGATAAGCTAGTCTTTTCTTAGACGTAAGCTTAACAAGGAAAGGATAGTACATAATATACGAGGGAACATCAAAAAGCTCATGGGTGAATGGAAATCAAGTACAGGTTTATTTTGGTGTAGAGAAAGTTGGAATCTACAGTTCATTCATTCATCCATATCATAAACTATTTGAACACACCTTATACGAAGACATAAAAGAAGCAAAACCAAACCAAACCAACTTGAGTAACTAGGCAGTGACATGGTGGTAAAATGTGATGCTCTAGGAGGTTAAAAACCCCATGGGAGGGTCCCAGGTTTGTGTCTGGAGACCTATGTAAGTACCCCAGGCATATACCGGGTTGTCAGGAAAGTCAGGATGCATTTTTGCACAGAAAAATGGAAGATGCATCATGACTTTCCCGACAGCCTAATGCATTGACCATGATTCTGACTGGCTGAAGCTGGGGGTGGATTGTAGCATCAAAGCCTGTTGAGGGTGCTGTCTTTCTGTTTCTTTCTCTTTCTCACTCTTGGAATAAGGTTTTTTTTTTTAAAGCCAACTTGAGTAATTAAAATGCATAACCTTAAATAGAAAAAAAGTTGATCTTTAAAAAATTTCAGTCAAGATATTAGATATTTTGATGGGGCATTTAATAGGTTCATTTTATCCTTTTAACCAGGTAGGTTCCATTTCTAGGACTTTCTCCAGAAATAATCTCTAGGCATTATATAATAAGCCCCTCTCATCATTTTAACAGTGAAAACTTTAAAAACCCTATCCAGTCAGATGAGATAGACTGTGACTCAACAACCATCAAAAACTATGGCCTTGGGAACCAGCAGTTAGCGTAATGGCTATGTCGCTGGATTCCCACGTAGTCGACCGCGGTTCGCATACCGGACCCGGTGGCTTAAAACTCACGCCGGGCGCGTGTGCGTGCGTGCCCAAGATCCCGAGAGGAGAATGGAGGAGAAGGGATTGCGGCGTGACCGTCCCCCCGGGGGGGTGATTTCTCGCTTTCTGTCTCTATGTCTCTCTCTGTCTGTCTGGCGAGCGCACGCGCCCTACAGTGAAAATCTCTCAAAAAAAAAAAAAAAAAAACTATGGCCTTGGGCTGGCCCCCTGGCCTAGCGGTTAAGGAAGCCAGATCCCACAGGAGGGAAAGCAAGATTAGCATGCTGGCCCGAGGCCCGAAAAACACACTGCTGGTGTGTTTATTCAAAATCCTGAGGAAACAGAGAACTGGAGAAGGGACTGCCTGCGGAGTGACCACCTCCACTGGACGCTTCCTCCTGCTCTGTCTCCCTGGCAAATGCAAGCACCCTCTGGCAAATTAAAAACAAATGTGGTCTTGATATATGAAAACAGCACTAAATAACTTTAAGTCAAAACATCCAAATAGAAAGCAAAACCTAAGGGGCCAGCTGGTGACACAGGTTGCTGGACTCCCACATGGTGGACTGTGGTTCAAGTCCTGGACCTGGCGGCTCTCTTTTGCACACCTGCCCTATAATAAATTAAAAATAAATACATAAACAACTAGTTCTTAAAAAACAAACAAACAAAAAACATAAAATGTGGCCAAATTGTGTTTTCAAAAAGCTGTATAGAAAAAATGCTATGAAGAAAGCACACCAAAAAGTTCTTTCCAACTTGGTGGAATTACATGTGTGTCTGCTACAATCAGGAATAAAAAAGTTTTGTGATTAATGTCCTAGCAGCCACTAATTCAGTTTTCTGTCATGCAAATGTCCAGTGTAAAAATGGATTAAGGCATAAATTGTATGATTCTAATTAGCATAAAATAAAGATCCAGGGGAGAAAAAAACACATGATGGGAACAGCAAAATATGCCATTCTGGGTAATGAGATTACTTTTATTTTTTCTGTAAAATTTTGTCATATATTTTCTGATTTTTTGTTTGTTTGTTTTGTTTTTTGAGAGGTTTTTCGCTACAGGGTGCGTGCGCTCGCCAGACAGACAGAGAGACATAGAGACAGAAAGCGAGAAATCACCCCCCAGGGGGGATGGTCACGCCGCAATCCCTTCTCCTCCATTCTCCTCTGGGGATCTTGGGCACGCACGCACATGCGCCCTGCGTGAGTTTTAAGCCACCGGGTCCGGGACGCGAACCGCGGTCGACTACGTGGGAGTCCAGCCACATAGCCATTACACTAATTGCTGGTTCCCTATTTCCTGATGTTTTGACAGTAAGCACACAAAGCATGAATACATAGAAAGATAAAACTCTTCTGTGGTTGTTTTAACAATAGGAGAGTAAGGGTCCTTAGAAAACTTCAAAACAGTTTGTTCTTGTTTAGTGCAATTAATTCACTTAGGCCTGAATCTCATAGACGGTTACCAGCCTTTCACTCAAATGCAACAGCCAATGCAGAGTCCTGAATTTTTAAAAATTACTTATTTATTTAATTCCATTTGTTATTATTTTTTCAATTTGACCACAGGCAGAGAGAGAGAGAGAGAAAAGGGAAGCTGAGAAAGCAAGCCGCCAGTCCGGGACGCCGGCCACACCCGCCACGTGGGAATCCAGTGCCTTTAACCACCACAGCCGCCTGCGGACCCCAAGTCCTGAATTTTTTCGTCCTAAATATAATGTTGATGAATTATTGATTTTCCCATACCTGAGGCCCCCATCTCTCATCTACAGCAGTAGCTTTTTTTCTTTCCACGAAGTACAGCTTTATTGCAAAGCGCAAAGCAAGGAGAGCGAGCAGCTCATGATGAAAAGGCCGGGTCTCCAGGAGCCTAACAGCCTCCGCAGACCTGGTCCTGCCCTCCTCTAATCCGCCCCGACCCGCCGTCACAGCGGGCCTTGCACATGCCCATCGGGTTCGCCCGCCTGCCTCTGCCGCGGGCGCCCTGGCCGCCTTCTCTGCAGTT